ACTGCCTGGCCATTTCTGTCCTTTTTTAAAAAAATATTTTTATTTTTGAGATTAATATAATTATATCATTTCCCCTTCCCTTTGTCCCAAGTCTTCCCGTGTGCCCCTCACCTTTAGTCTTTCAAACCTATGATCTTTTTTCTTTAATTTTTGTTGCTAGAGTGTGTGTATGTGTGTGTGTCCCTGAATATATAAACACAACCTGCCCAGTCTATGTAATGTCACGTGTATGTTTATTTTCTCGCTTCTCCTGCCCTCAGCACTCTCCAGTTGCCTGTGGCTCTTTGTCTAAGATGGACCACAAGCCCCCCTTCCTCACTAGCCTGTCTGTTGATGTTGTCCTTGTCCAGGCTCACTAGCCTGTCTGTTGATGTTGTCCTTGTCCAGGCTCCACTGTTTTTAATTATGTATGCTTGTGTCTACTTGTAAGTATGTATATTTAAACGTTGCCCTCAAAGAACCGAAACATTGGATCACTCTAGAACTGGAGTTTTAGACAGTTGTGAGCCACCTAACTGGGTGTTGGAAACCCAACATGGGTTCTCTGTAAGAGCTGCACATACTTGTAACCACTGACCTGTCTCCCAAGCTCCCAGAGCCTAGTAAAATCTTGACAAACTTGCACTTACTAATCTTTCTCAGTATTGAGTTTTCAACTGCAAAAGTTTTGTTTTTAAAAATTACACTGGCAAAGCCAGTGAGATGGCTCAGCGGCTAAAGGCACTTGTAACCAAGCCTGAGGTTCTGAGTTCGATCCCTAGCCCCACATGGTAGAAAGAGAAAACCAACCCTTGAAAGTTTTTCTGTTCTCCATCTGTGCCATGGCATACATATACCCAAATACATATGTAACATATACACATACATACACATGTTAATAAATGTAATAAAAATTATACCAATGTTAAGAAAGTAATGTAGATTTGGTGCTGATGAAGTTTTGGCCTAACAACATAGCCTTAATTACAGTTACCTTATGGCATGGCACATCTGCCTGAATGTGCACACACAGATAAGTGACAGAGCAAAATCAAAAGAATTTTGATTCCCACAGAATCAAAGAAGACAGCATTAACCTAATAGAAGTAGATTCTTTGTATCCTGCCAAAGATGGTGGGAGACTTTTCTTGCCATCAGTGCCTGTACGGTACTGTAGTCCTCATTCTCTTGGAGCCTGGCATGATGGTGCATGCCTGCAATCCTAGCATTCAGCCTCCTGAAGCTGGGCTGCACAGAAGTTCTAGGCTGTCCTGGACTTGGAAAACCTTGTCTTAAGAATAGAAGGATGCCAGCAGAAGCCCCATGCAGACTGACCGAGCCTGCTGCCATCTGGGCCCAGACCCAGCGCTTTGAGTAGGTCCACCCCAACATCTGTTCCATCTATGTGGTGCTGGAGCATGTGGAGGAGCTGGTCTTGCAGAACCAGATGTCATCATTGAATAGGGATGGTCCTATGCCCACCAGTTGGCCCCAGCTTAGAGATACTGGGGCTGCATCCTGAGCTGGGAGACAGAGAGTTGGGAGGGGCTTGTAAGCAGGGAGGTATGTAGCATCCTGGAACTTGCACAGTACCTGCCCTCCCCCACCCTCCAACCAACATAGCCACAAGATCACCCCAACTCTAGGCAACAGCAGGATATCTGAGATAAGTCCTAGTGATGGTCCAGTATTTATGGTGTGTGCATCAGAAACCAGACACCTGAACCAGACCAATGCAATGAATAGTTGTGTGTAAAGCTGTTAGAGAAAAAACAAAACAACAACAAAAAAAAACAAAACAAAAAAACTTTGTGACACACTGCAGTTTCCAATGCCACTACAAGGAATGAATGTGCCATAGAGAGGTGGGAAAGATGGAATAGAGATGTCTGTGTGGTGGAGAAGGGCAGACCTAGAGACTCGAATTCGATGACAAGTGTGAGAGAAGGCTAAGTGTTACCTCTGAAGACCATGCAGATGTCTGTTGTACCAACAAGAACCGTGTCTGGATCTGTGCTCCTGCTGCAGCTGAAGACTACGTTGTTACCTGTGGCCTGTGTTACCACCAAAGGCCATGCAGATGTCTATGGCCTGAAGCCACATTGATATCTATGAATCTTGCTGCCAGAGGCCATGTTGATGTGGGTGGCCTGTGCTGCCACCTGAGGAGGCCATGTTGATGTCACTGTGCTGAGATGCAGCTGTGGAACATATTGGTGTCCTTGGCTGGTGTAGCTATAGAGCCACGTTGATGAGCTTGGCCTGTGCTGCTGCTGCAGGCTATGATGGTGTTTATGGCTGGTGCTACAGCAGAGGGCCATGTTGATGTCCATTGGTCTGTATTGCCACCAGAGACCATGCTGACTGTAAATACATGCTGACTCCGGAGACCATATGGATGTCCACGGTCTGTGCTCCTCTGACTGTAAAGGTCAAGGGAGCTATTTTTGCAGTGGGATGCATGACTGCAGACTCACAGTTGAGACTGAGGGATGTAGAAGGCTTCAGTGACAAATCCCAGCCCACCCCTACAACAAAGAACAGTAACAACCTAGACAGGAAACCATAGAAGAGACACAAGTGTAAGGACACTGAAGTGAAGTTCTCCATACTTGAGGCTTCTGGTGGGTTGGGGGAAAGACCTGGTTCTCTTTAAGGGGCTGGCTACTGGGAGTTTGACCATGCTCCAGTGAGTGTATCGGCAACATAAGTTAAACTTGTGGGTTTTTCCCTCCCCCGGCCCCCCCCCCCCCCCAGAAAGGTGGGGAACAGAACTAGAAAGACTAGGAAGTGAGTGTGATTGGGGAGCATGATGTAAAATTCCCAAATTATCAGTAAAAATATTAGGAAAAAGAAAGATGGGTGAAGGGACAGGAGTGGGGGAGGGGAGTCACTTTGGAATATGCTAGGAATTTTGTGGAAAAACTGGAAGGCAAGTGAATAAATGGGGGAGATTAGACATTTTCTTCGAATTCAGAAAGCAAATTTGTTTTGTTTTGTTTTTCCTAGCAGTGTTAGGTGTTGAACCTGGGGCATCAAGAGTGTTAGACTGGTACTTATTAACCAAAAGCCCCTGCCTTGGAAGCAAAGGCACATATACTTCTGGGTCACTGAACTACTGTGGCTTCAGGGATGAGGATAATGCAGAGAGTACAAGGATACAGGCATCACACTGTGCTGTCATAGAGGTCTCTGTGCCTTGGATTCTGACCTTTGAGGTCCTTGGCATTTGCCACTTTAACTAGTTAGTCCTATATAGCAAACATTTTGTGGCATCTAAGATTTACCAGCCAATATGGTATAAGACACATGTATAAAACATGTTTGACCTTCAAGGAACTATGGACTGAGTCAAAGACATACCTACATATTCAGTCAGCACATTACACAAATGTGTAAATATAATAGCAGTGTGCTAACAATTCAGTGGAATTATTTGAGAAAGGAGTCAGTGGCAGAGAAGGTGTCCCATTTCTTGAACTATTGAAGGAGAGATGGGAGTGTGAAAGACAAAAGAACCTCACTGGATCACAGGATAGGAGAGATTTTTAAGATTCGATTTATGCCAGGCGGTGGTGGCGCACGCCTTTAGTCCCAGCACTTGGGAGGCAGAGGCAGGCGGATTTCTGAGTTTGAGAGTTCGAGGCTAGCCTGGTCTACAGAGTGAGTTCCAGGACAGCCAGGGCTACACAGAGAAACCCTGTCTCAAAAAACCAAACCAAAAAAAGAAAAAAAATAAAATAAGATTCGATTTACTATCTGACCCTTCTCCCTTTGCACCATCTGCTGTTTTGTGTTGGGTTTTTTGTTTGTTTGGGTTTTGTTTTGTTCTGTCTAGAACTGTATCTTAGGCTGGCCTCAAACTCACTATGTAGATAGACAAAGAAGGGGTGTGTGTCTGTGTGTGTGTGTGTGTGTGTGTGTGCATGTATGTGTGGTGTATTCGTGTGTGCAGGGGCTCATGCACGTGTGTGGTGAGTAAGGAGCCCTGAAGTCAATCTCAGGTGGTGGGTTTTGCTTTTTGTTTGGTTGGTTTTGGCTTTTTTGAGACAGGTTTTCTTTGTGTAGCCCTGGCTGTCTTAGAACTAGCTCTGTAGACCAGACTGGCCTCAAAGTCAAGATACACCTCTGCCTCCCAAGACTAAAGGCATTGGCTACCACCTGGTGTCTACCTTATGTTTTTTGAGTTCCATCTCTCACTGACCTAAAACTTACCCAGTATACTAGCTGCCTGGACAGCAAGTCCCAGGGTTCTGCCTGTCCCTGACTTCCAAGTGCTAGGATTACAGTTTTGAGCCACCACGAATACTTTTTTTTTTTTAAACCTGAGTTCTAGGAGCCAAACTCAGGTCTTCATGCTTTCTTGGCAAGCCCTCTACCAACTGAGTTAGCTTCTCAGCCCAGCCTTGAACTTCTCATTCTTCTACCTTCACGTCCTGTGAAGTGCACCACCATACTTATTATATTTGGTGCTAGGGATTGGCCTCAGGGCTTCCTGCATGCTAGGCCCTCTACTGAGTTACAGTTTTCTATTTGTCTATGTTTTAAACCCAATTTTGTAATAACTCTTATACCAAATACTTAAAAATAAAACCTCGGGCTGGAGAGATGGCTCAGCGGTTAAGAGCACTGACTGCTCTTCCAGAGGTCCTGAGTTCAAATCCCAGCAACCACATGGTGGCTCACAACCATCCATAGTGAGATTGGATGCCCTCTTCTGGTGTGTCCGAAGACAGCTACAGTGTACTCATAATAAAATAAATAAATAAATCTTAAAAAAAAAAACCTCATAAGATACTGCAAGATGATATACTACATAAGTTCTTATACATCGAAAAATGTGATTTTAATATTCTGTCAGCATATGTGTGTTAATCTCAAAATATTGTTGTTCACAATACTGGGTTTATAAATTCTAGCTAAATGACATTAAGGTACCTTCAAGTTTGGTTTTGGTGTTTCATTGTTCAAAGGAGGAAGAAAGAGCATTGTCCTCACACAACTTTTTTTTATTTTTTCAGATCAATAACTCGATCCTATTACCGCAACTCAGTTGGAGGATTTTTAGTGTTTGACATTACTAACAGACGGTCTTTTGAACATGTGAAAGATTGGCTAGAAGAAGCAAAAATGCATGTACAGCCGTTTCAGATTATATTTCTACTGGTGGGACATAAATGTGATTTAGCTTCACAACGTCAGGTTTCAAGAGAGGAAGCTGAGAAACTGTCAACAGACTGTGGAATTAAGTATATAGAAACCTCAGCAAAAGATGCTACAAATGTTGAAGAGTCCTTTACAATCTTGACAAGAGACATATATGAACTTATTAAAAAAGGAGAGATTTGTATTCAGGATGGATGGGAAGGGGTTAAAAGCGGTTTCGTTCCAAATACTGTGCATTCTTCTGAGGAAGCAGTGAAGCCCAGAAAAGAGTGCTTCTGTTGATTTCGACCTGCTGAAGAACTACCACAGACAGACCGTGTCACTCTGGATACATGTCAACATTCATAGCAGAATGATGCAAGGAGTGAACATCTACAAACATCCAGACCCGTTTCATAAGCTGATGGACACACGCTGTGTCTCACCACTTATACCAACAGGCTGGGTAGTCTGCCAAGACCTGTTTCATAAGCTGGTGGACACGCGATGTGTCTCGCCACTTACACCAACAGGCTGGGTAGTCTGCTAGGTTAGGAGGAAAAGGAGATAACTTTTTTCTTGAAACCAGGGTCTACAAAATTACATCCATTCTCATTTTGTTAGCATATAGTTGGCCTTAGTGACAAGATATGTCAGTATTAATCATCTTTCTTGACAGTTGAAGATAGATTTTTTTTGTACACATGTAATCCAGCTGAAAAGAACGTATCAGGATTTATATTTTCCTGGGTTAACTAGTATTGCATACAAAGTGCACTTGAAGGGCCAATGAGGTGACTCACTGGGTTAGGAAGCTTGCCACCAAATGTATAGACTTGAGGTTCATCCCTGGAGCCCCTGTAGTAGAAGAAAAGAATCTACTTCCCTTGGAGTTGTCCCCTGATCATGTGCACCCTGTCATACACATGCACATACGAATACACATGAGCAAGTACGAGGCCAGACACTAAATAATGTTGAAAATGCATAAGGTACAACTTGAATGCTGAGGCTACAGCTCAGTGGTAGAATGTTTCTTTAGTTCTGAAAACCCAGATTCAATCCCCAGCGTCAAAACCAGGGCAGGAAAAAAGCAAAGTACTTATAAGCAGTCTTAGAAATACTGACTAGGACTAAAATATAGATTTTTCTCTTTAGTGTAGCAGAGTTGCCATTCTCAGAACATAGTAAGTTTTCTATTCCCTCTTTGTTACTGGGCTTATTGCTCCTAGAATCTTCACATTTGATAAGGTATGTAAGTGTTCAAAGGAGATACTGTAAGCAAACATTATAAGGAAATAAAAAGGATCATTCAATATCAAATACTTTGATGTTATAGTACATTGCCCAAATTTAACAATGCTTATATACTGACATTTTCAAAGAAAAAAAGTACAGTTTACCTTGAACTACTTTCAAAATTATCAATATACATTCATACTATTTTCTCAAATTTCCAAATTATCTCATTTCCAGTAAAAGTGTGGAGAAGATATTCTGAACAAGAAAAATAGTGTTAGAAACTTGACTCAGAAGTCATTATACGAACTCATTAATAAAAGGGAAGATAAAATACAGTTAAGTGAATAAAATAATGTTAAAGTTCAATTCTTTTTAAAAATAATATTGTTTTTCCTCTTTACAGATAGTTTTGCTATATAGATCAGATCCACTTGCTTCAGTCTCCCAAGTGCTGGGTATGTGACACCATACCCAACTCCTTAATTTTTTAGCATGAGGGTTGAGACCGGGTCTCACTCTAGGAGCCCTTGTAGACCTCAAATTCAGTATGCAGACTAGGCTAGATGCAAACTCAAGAAATCTGCCTGCCTCTGCCTCTGTGTGCTGGGATTGAAAGTTTTAACTTACTGCTTGAACATGCATGGAAAGGACATTTTATCACAGTGTTAAATATTTTATAGTATGTATATCTGTTCTATGCTATAAATTGCAAAGTGTATCTAATTACCCAATGAAGCTGACCTTTTGACATTGTAAGGCTCTTAGGCTTAAACTATAGTAATTTTATGTGTTATGAAAAGCAAAATGGTTTAGTGTAAAGAATATTGAGCAAGAAATTAGAAAGCATAGCTCTAAGCTTACTTTTGCTCATTTTTTTTTCTGGTTTATAAAATCAGCCTACCAGACTCATTTATTGAATTCTATGGAGTTATTCTGAAAATTAAGCAGATGTGTTAAAAAGGTTTGAGTCCAGAAAGCATAGTACACGTGTTTTGCTGGTTCTGGACATATTATATTTACAATGGATAAGGATTTTCTTAAGTTCTTTCTTTTTATTTCTGTGTGGAAATACCAGAAGACAATGTATTTTCATGGACCCAGGGGAACTCTTGGCTGGCATTTGCCCTCTGTCCTTCTACCATGAACTGCTGTTGAATTGCTGTTTCTCTAAAGTATAAACAATAGACAAGAAAGCCCTTGGAAAATTAATGCAACCAAAAAAATTGTATCTGAAAGTATTTTGTGCAACTTTGAAGTAGGTATTTAATTGTATTTTAAACACTTGTACATTTTCTAGATTTGTGTATTTTAATAGTACTCATGAAGAAAAGAACATAAATTATGTCACTATGAAAGTTTTGAATATTTATATTGTCAATATTTTTATATCCCAAGGCTGTTTTGTGGGAATGAATGCAAACTTCTCCTCCCCAGACAAGTCTATTTTTACTGTTACAATATTCAATTACATCACATCCAACATGGAGTGACTTAAAATGCTGAATATCTAATGGTTTCAAGTGCAGTTACCTGTGTCTACTTGTCAAGCTAAAAAACAATTGAAAGTGTGACTTCATTTTCAGTAGACACCTTTTATATTAATGCTAGATAAAGACAAAAATCTGGTCTGAAGGATAGGATGTATTCCATACCCAGAGTGGAAGATGGAAGAACAGATGGAAAGGTGAGAACCCCAAAAGTTGATGCTTGCACAAGTGACTTCTGCAACTCTGCATCTCTCAACTCTTTGGTTATTAGGGTGTGTGTGTGTGTGTGTGTGTGTGTGTGTGTGTGTGTGTATGGTTGATGAATGTAAAAGGATAAGTAAAGTGGGGCACAGTTGATTTTACTTTATAGAGGAGGTCTTTCCCTCCCCTTATGAGGAGGTATTATCAGTGTGTGAAAACTGGGTATGGTAATACACACTCTGGTAGAGGCACACAGATTTCTGTGAGTTTGAGGCCAGCCTGGTCCATAAAGTGGATTCTAGGACAGCCAGGGGCTATGCAGAGAGATTCTGTTAGTGAGTGAAAACTAAAGATTTAAGGCTGCCAGTGTGTATACCCTTATTCCAAAATCTATCCATATATATACATACATATATGTGTGTAATTGATCTATTTTTAATATATTGTTATAGAGGATGTGGACGATCATGCCAAAACAGTCAAATATTTGCTCTAAGCAAAAATACTTTGCCCAGGTTTCTTAGAAACCAGACACATGCCTTTAACCCCAGCACTCAGGAATCAGAGGTTAGGTGGATCCCTGAATTTGAGGCCAGCCTGGGCTACAAAGCACGTTCCATGTCAGCCAGAGTTACATGGTGAGACATATCTTATTTTATATTAATATTACTGCATTTAAATTTATTCTTATTTAAATTTAATACCAATAGATGTTGTAGCTAATTACCAAATACTTTCAGTCATTATAATTTTATATATGAACAAAAATCTACCCACTGTACAGTATATTTGTGCCTGATTGGCACTGCGAATCCACAGTGCTAACACTGAGAACATATAATGGTGTGATGGTTTACTGTATGTAAGTAAGCTTAAACAAAATGTTCAAGTGATCAGAATGCTATTCAAGGTGACCTTTATGTTTTTTGATCATCATAGGAGCAAGTAAGAGAGAGTTTCTGAGCCTGGACACCTGAGGGTTAGGTTTCCAAAAGCATTAAGAACTTCATGAGCTGGATGGAGAGATGGCTCAGTGGTTAAAGAGCACCCTCTGCTCTTCCAGAAGTCCTGAGTTCAGTTCCCAGCAACCACATGGTGGCTCACAACCATCTGTAATGAGATCCAATGCCCTCTTCTGGTGTGTCTGAAGAAAGCAGCAGTGTACTCACATACATAAAATAAATAAATCTTTTTAAAAAGAAGAAGAAGCAGAAGAAAAGTACTTCATGAGCTTTCATTGAAAAACTGAATCTGGATTAGTAAAAACATTTTAAGAATGACGTTTGTTTTTATATGGCTCTTGGTTCAATGAAGAGCAGAACTTCCATAACTTCAGAGTGCTCTGGATTTGCATAATTCCTTAGATCTGATCAAATAAAAAGTATATAAGCAAGACTAAAGATCCATTTGGATCCATATGGTTTCCTCATAGTTGCTCAGAAAAACTTAGATTGGAAAAGCAAAGGGAACATCCTTACCTCTAGGGGGAAATCACTCAGAGTAGATCTCTTGTATTTTAAAATAGTAAAGCAGCAGGGTCAGGTGTGGTGATGCACTGCTATCCAGAGACAGCAGCAGGGTCACTGCTACAGAGCAAAATCCCTTATCAGTCAGTCAACAGAACAGATGCCCAAACAAAGCTACTCTTAGAAATCCCACAGTTGATACATTTATGTTCAGGACCTTTCCAAACCTCAGATATTTGCACCAGTCTTTTCCTGGGCAACCAATCCTCACCTATGAAATAAGAAACAATACTATTCTCTTGAACATGAAGGAAGTGCTGTAGAGTCATGAGCCGTGGCGATCTGAATCAATCACTATGCACTCTAGTTCACTTGCTGCACACAGTCATGCTAAGGAAATAAAACAAGAAGAGATGTATTACAGATATTAAAGATATATTATGAACCAATGTACCATGTTATCTCTCTTCATAAAAATTTTGTCTCGGGGGCTGGAGAGATGGCTCAGTGGTTAAGAGCACTGACTGCTATTCCAGAGGTCCTGAGTTCAAATCCCAGCAACCACATGGTGGCTCACAACCATCTGTAATGAGATCTGATGCCCTCTTCTGGTGTGTCTGAAGACAGCTACAGTGTATTCATATATAATAAATAAATAAATCTTTAAAAAAAAAATTTGTCTCTACTAAAATAGTGCCTAACAAACTGTTGTACTGTGACATTCAATGACTACTAACATGGTTATGATATTAAATTATGCCTTTAAATGTGAGTTCCACTTATTTAATTTTAACTTATACATTCCATGGGAGGATACATGTTTTTCTGTCATCATTTCTTGATATTTTTTCCAGAATGACAAAAAAGTAAAATATGGTGTAAACTTGATCTATATTTTTAATGCTACCTGTTTTAAAATAACGAAGACTGTGACAGAAGCCTTCAAAACTATGAACTGAAATAAACTGTTTAACAAGTTAATTAGTCAAATGTTTTGTTATGGATTCAGAAAGCTGAAAACATATTCCTGATCACACATTCTTCATTTCTTTTGACTATATAAAACAAACCATTTGGTTACCTTTCTATTTTACAACCAGGATACTAGTAAACCAGGGTTATTCAAAGAAACAGAACCAATATTAAGCTTATAGGTGAAGATATTTATTATGTTGAATGTGTTACATAGCCAATTTGAGCACTACTAGTAAACCAGGGTTATTCAAAGAAACAGAACCAATGTTAAGCTTATAGGTGAAGATACTTATTAAGTTGAATGTGTTACATAGCCTATTTGAGCACCACTTCTCTTGTGGAGGCTGTCAATTCTAAAATATTCAGGCTGGAGACTCAAAAAAACTAATTCTATGGTTGGACTTAAAAGGCCATCTGTCTGCCAAGAAACAATGAAAAAGTCAATATTGACAATGATATTCAAAGGCAGTCTTCTGGAGAATTCCATGTTGCTCAGAGCAGACTAGCTTCATCATTCCAATTAGCCCTTCAATTGATTAGATGAAACCCACCCACATTATGAAGGCTGATATGCTTTACTCAAGTTATTTAAGAGTTAACTTCCACAGCTGGCACGGTGGCACATGCCTTTAACCCCAGTACTCAGGAGGAAGAGGCAGGCGCATCTGTGTGAGCCTAGTCTGTGTAGTGAGTTCCAAAATGGCCAGGGCTATGCAGAGACCCTGTGTCAAAACTAAAAATAAAATAGGAAAAGAAAAAGAAAAGTTAATTATCCTCCAAATATATTTGGACATAAGCATCTAGAATAATCATTAATGTCATGGCTCAACAAAGCTGACACATTAAATTAGCCACCCCAAAACCTAGAAAAACAAATAGAATTCTCGTTTACATGTAAAATCTTAAACAAGAGATCTTATAAAAGGCAGAAATGAGAATGTTGGTTACCAAAGA